ATATATATATATATATATATATATATATATATATATATATATATATATATATATATATATATATATAAATATTTATGGCCAACAGGTATGGCAAAATGCTAATTTTGGACCCTGTACTGCAGCTTCAGTATAATCACATTGTCTAAATAAAACACTTTATCACACTGCTTTAGTTCTCACTGGACTGGAATGTTCCAGATGGCAACCTGGCCCTGCGGGCGAGAGGGGCCGACCCTGAAGGGTCCATGGTGAGGTGCGTGTTCGAAGGTGATGGTGTGGAATCCTTGAAGGACATGCGCTGGCATAAGGTGGCTCTGAGTCTGCAGAGAGATGCGGCCTCCCTGCACGTGGACTGCAGCTCCATTGAGAACAAGCCCCTGGAGCTCCGTGGCCAGTTACCCATCAATGGACACACGCTGTTGGGTATGAGGGCTACTGATGCTACTCCTGTGGAGGTGAGTGATTGAGAACGTATTGTGAACCTTTCACAGAGGAAGAGGCTTGCTGTATAAGAATGTCAACTAGATGTACGACTGCAGAAGCTTCCGGCTCCTCAGATAATTGAGCACCACACTGCTAATAGAGTAGTCGGAAGTAGATGTTTCCTATAAGCCGGCTTCCCACAGGTTTTGCCCTAGGCATCCTGTCTGCCGGGGGAAATGTGGCAGGGGTGTGTCTGTGAATGTGTGAGAGACTGGAAGACTACGGGCGCTTCTCGTCAGGTCTAATGCTACTAAGCTCTCTCAGCTCAAAAAAGATGAAAAGAACAGCCCATGCTAGCCTAACCCAGCTTCAGCCATTAATAATTAATTAGTTCGTTAATCCAACCACTTAGCGAAATGATCATGCAAGTGGTCATATGTAAAGCAGTGGGGGTCCAGCATTTAAAAAGCTAATTTTCTTTGTTCTTGCTCTGGTTTTAATATGCTTTCTCTCTTCATCTTTTTTCAGATTGATGTCCAGCAAGTGATGGTGTATTGTGACCCCTCTCTGGCTATCCAGGAGGCCTGCTGTGAGATACCTGGAGCTCAGGTAATAACGGCTGAACTGTTAAAAACACCATAAAATGCTTTTATTCATGGTATTATGCGAAATTTCAAACATGTTTCATCTAGTGAATTCATTTCTATTAGTATTCGGCTGCTATAGGCTATTGAGTGTTTTTTTATGGCATTGTAGCATATAGAGCAGGGTGACAGTTTAAAGTTTAAAATGAGATCTATACAACAAAAACAATGCTTATTTGGAAAGTTTTTACTGAAAATCAACAAAAAGTAGATTATGTTAACAAAAAGTAGAAATTTTTATATTTTGCACTGGAACAAAAGGAAAAGGAAATCAATTCACTTCTGTCATTTGATGTCCAGTTATTGGCCATTTTGACATTATCAACATTCTGATAAATCAGTCTGTCAATTTATTTCATTTGTAGCCTAAAGGTTATGGCAAGGCTCAATATTAATGTTTGCTTGCATGTCTTTGTCAACCTCAAAAAAAAAAAAAAACCTGAACCTTACAATTAAAGAAATAGTTCACCTAAAAAATAATAAAAAAAAGTTTTTGGTAATTGAAATAAAGCAAATAATGCTGAAATAAAATAAAAATATAAATGTTAAACAAAAACTAGAAATGTTAACTAAAATATGTTTAACAATGAGCCAGTTAACAGTGTTATGATACCATGCAGGTAAATTACACTATATAGTTTTACCTTAATGTTTTGAACCTACCACAGTCCAAGCATAGGTAGAATACTTTTTTAAAGGGTGTGTGTTTTTCCCAGTATTGTCAAGTAATATTTCACCCAAGCTGATGAAATATTCGCACATGTTTTCGGTGATCACAGTGGAGGCAAAGCTCATGTTTTGCTGAGGGAATGGATGTGTTCTTTCTGTCAAAAAATCATTGTTGTAGTTGTACTTGATGGATAAAGCCTCAGCAGCGACTCAACTTCCATCGGGGCGGCTGTGGTGGAGGAACAGCGCTTGAGTCATCGATGTGGGAGTGCTGCTTCATTTGAGGATTTGGAATTTGGTGCGTTTCTCCTATCTGAATTGATCAGAGCTTTGGCAAGGCTTGCTGAATCGAAAAGGCTCACAGGAATGCATCACTTGCAGATAACTTCACCCTGTATGAAAAGCATAGAGCCACCCACAGCCTGCAATAGTAAAGAAGGTAGAGATCAGGAAATGTCACCTGATAAACTTCTTTGACAATGGAAGTGCACATGGGAATAGGTACAGCCAACTCTGAGCTGGCATTTCAAATTTGATGCAATTTTGGATCAGAGGATATTTCACAGCCAAGAACTATTAGACATCATTATTTACGTGCCAGATGGACCATATTTAGTCTGAAAAGATGATTATTCCCCTTACATTTTAGTTGCCTCTTTATGAGGTAAGGTATGGATAACAAAATCATGTGACTAAAACATCAGGTTATTATGTGTGTGTGTGTGTGTGTTTGAGTTTGAATGTAAGCCAACAGAGCTCTTTGTGTTCTTTTGTTTTGGGACGAATGCTCAAAGCTCCCTGTGAGCAGTGTTCAAAATGGAAACAAGGGCAACTATTTCCTCCTTGAATGCATGTGCTCTTATGTGGCTTTTAAAAGCAGAGGAGTCAGTGATTACATCTTGAGATGCAGAGGAAAAGATGTCTTGCATCATAAAATGCCTTGAAAGACCACATTTGTATCAATACTAGGGAGTGTGCTTGAGAATGATTTTTTTAATTATTTAAATCAATTCCAGTGTTGTTTTAGTATTATTTATATACTATTATGGTATTTATTCATATTAGCTTTTATTTGTATATTTTTAGTTTTCATTGTAATTTTAGTTTAAGTTTTAGCAATTGTGTTATTTTATTTATTTATTTATTTTGCAATTTTAGGCAACTAACTGAATGTTCTAATTTCTAAAGTTTTTTTAAGTTTAAAATTTTCATCCAATACTTATATTATAATTCAGTTTATTTCAGTTACTGACATGTTTTTGTAATAGTTTAATTTTAGTTCAAATCAGATTGACCTGTGTTCTTTGTGCTTCCGTAGTGCCCACCGGATGCTCCCAAGAGTCGAAGAGCCGCAGAGAACCAGGTGGAGTTTGTGCCCAATCCCTTCACTCAGGTAAATTAATCTGACTATTAAAAATTCTCAGTCTTTTGCAATTAATTTGTAGAAATGTTGTTGTGCAGTGCACAAACTCATTCATTTGCAAAAACAACCCTTGATACTGCACTTAAAAATGAGCCACTGAAACTGTGCAAGGGCCTCTCAAGATCAGGATGTGGGATCCTGATCTTGAGATGGTTTGAAGTGTTTGAAGACACACACGTACTTGCTCTCAGTGGGAGCTAATAAGGGGGCGTAGACTGAGGATGCATCCATGCGTTCAAAAGCAGCAAGAATGCAATGGAATGGAACACATTGAAGAGGCCTCAAGATGCATTTTTAAATGAGCTGTATATTTTTATTCAACATGCTATTTTAAAATGCAACATAAATATTCAATAAATAAATACATGCATCAAATGCATTTGTGCACATTATCCAACAATTAAAAATGGTGTGAACCAAACAAATCTTGTGTGCATGCTTCTGAAAGCTCAAAGAAGTAATCTTCCTAAAATAGGTTTGCCAGGCTCTTTAGGTGAATATACTACTGATATCAATGTGCAGCACCCGGTTGAGTTTTTCATACTTTTCCCTCGTTAAAACACTTGAATGGTGCATCCCAGCAGTGTTACAGCGCATACATAGATGACAAGATGAGCTGAAGATGTAATGTAGGCTGATAAATTTTTCTCATCCTGATAAATTCGACATAAAATGACACAGTTAGTGGCCATTAAGCGTCCCACTAGCAGGCAGTTGAATGAGCTCTTCTGTAGAAACTGGAAATTAATGTAAATTCTTGTGAACAATGCCCAGTGGGCTGTAGAAATGCTGAAATCAAACGTTCTCTGCTTCCGCAGCTCTTTTATATTTCATACTTGCTCTTTCGCTTCTTGTCTACGCATATTTGCTCTTGCATCTACATGTTGTCCTTTATGCTCTCTCTCTTTTTCTCTCCTGTTATTAGTGGTAATTTTGAATGTCTTCTGAATGTTGGCCCTCAGCTACAGTTAATAAACTTCTCTTTTTTTCAGTCAGTCATATATATATTTAAAAATTATAATTTTAACCCTTTTTAAACAAATACTGCACAAGGAGTGTATATTATATTATACATTTAATTCACAAAGTTGACAGCAGGCGGTTATCAACCTTCATTTTATGGAAAAAGAGAAAATCAGGCGTTTGGCTAAATACCCCCTGTGTGTTTCATGGAAGAAGAACAAGCATACAGGTTTGGAGTAACAGAGTAAATGATAGAGTTCGCATTTTTGGGTGAACAATCCCTTTAAAACAATCCTACTGCTAGCCAAGCATACACTATAAACAAAACTCTATCAAAGTTGCAAGGAGTAGAGCTAAAGTTTACATAAGCAGCTATGAGTAAACACAATTTGACTGCTGAAAAATCACAGCTTTCTGCATTTCTGTGTCTCAGTCTTCTCCAAGAATAACCTTAAGTCTTTTCTAGATAACAATGACTTCCACTTAAACCCAGTATTTGCTATTTTCCCCTGAAAACACAATTCATCAGCAGTTTCTCAGTGCTAAGCTGTGCATATGGGAGGATAACTTGTCCTCTATGGAAAAGAGGATTTGTGATGTTGGTGTGGGCTGCTCTTGTTGTTTCTCCTGGCAGCAGTGAGTCATGATCATTAGCAGGGCTAATAAAAAGCTGGTTGGTGAAGGTACTTCAGCTGGTCTCCAACTAGTCACATATCTTCCCCGCTTGCCACGTGGATTGTTCTTATACACTCACATATGTGACATAATTACATCCAGAGGGCTCTGTATTGGAGCCAAACACACTCAAAGCAGTTTGTTACGTCTACATGTAATCACACGTACACCGACATGAAGTGTATCCTCAGCTCACGCATTGGGTGGATAAACATCAACACTAATCACACTCCGTTCTCTCACGAGAACAGTAGGAGATTTGAGGTGGAAATTATATAAAATGGTTTTGTGGTGTAAATGCTCTTTTATGCTTTGCTGCTATACTGACAGAGGAATTAGCGCCATTGGAAGTATCACTTTGTGTGCCAATTTATACTCTAAGAATAATTCTTACTTTCAAGCAAACATATTTACTATTGTAACGAGTCAGTCTACTGAAGGCGAGCGAAGTGAAGAACCCAAGTGCAGTTTATTTACAGGTGATCCAAACAATAATCCGAGACTTGACATGAACAGGCTTGACTCACCGACAGCGGGTTACAACATCAATACACGACCAGAGACAATGGCAACATTATGCCTACTTATAGGAAACAAGAGGGTCACATGACAAGAACAAACCAATGGGAAACAAGACGCATGACTAAGACAACCAATCTGAACATGACATACAGAAGGCAGAGATACATGAGGGCAAGGGAACAGGGCAGGGCAGTCTGTGAGTTCGTGAACAGCCTCTGTGGCCGTGACAGGGCAGGCAGTGAGTTCGGAAGCGGATGCCGTCACCTCTAGAGGTTCTGCAGCGGATTCATGCACAGGAAAGGCCCTTGGTGCAGACTCATGGATAGGAAAGGCTTCAGGGACAGACTCATAGGCAGGAGAGGCCACTGGGGCAGATTCATGGACAGGAGAGGCCTCTGGGGCAGACTCGTGGGCAGAAGAGGCCTCTGGAGCACAGTGTGCAGCCCATACACTCAAAATGGCGACAGCCATTACATGAAGGGCAGCAGAGTGTGGCATGACCTCTAAGATGGCGGGGCTTGAGAGCGGTGATGTTACAGGGATGCCTGCAGCTCGCACCGACATCAGAGGTGGGTCCATCACGCTAGCTATCAGTCTTTTCAGTCTTGGCCCAAGCATCGAGTCCGACTCAGGCGTGGTGGCCATCTTGGCCGGAGACTCCGGTATGGGGGCCATGTCGTGACGAGACTCTGGAAGATCAGTTGAGACGTGATGAGACTCTAGAAGGGCGGCCATTTTGTGAAGAGACTCCTGTGTGGCAGCCATCTTGCGATGAAGCTCTTGAATGGCGGCCATGATCTAAAGAATCTCTTGATGTGCCGGCATGACGTGAGCAAGCTCTGGCTTGGCAGACGTGTCGTGAGCAGGCCCTGGGGTAGCAGACATGAAGTGAACAGGTTCTGACTTGGTAGATATGACAGGAGTAAACTTTGACTTAACTGGCATGATTTGAGCAGGTCCTAGAGTAGCAGACATGGCATTAGCAGGCTTTGGTTTGGCAGACATGAAGTGAGCAGACGTGACGTGAACAGACTCTGGCTTGACAGACATGACGTGACGTGAGCAGACTCTGGCTCTGGTTTAGTGCCGTGTTCCTTCTCCACGTCACCCACAGTGAAAGCAGATCCACTCAACCGCAGAGTAAAGTCTATATACTCGACCAGTGAACCTTTCCCCCAGGAAGCTGGGAGCAAATGGGTTAGTTTGATCCATGACGGAAAAATGTCTTTGAGCACCACGTCATTAAAATCAACATGGTTAGAAAGTTCACAAAAAGTCCACTGAAGGCAAGTGTAGTGAAGAACCCAAGTGCAGTTTATTTACAGGTGATCCAAACAATAATCCGAGACTTGACTTGACATGAACAGACTTGACTCACCGATAGTGGGTTACAACATCAATACACAACCAGAGACAATGGAAACATGATGGCTACTTATAGCAAACAAGAGGGTCACATGACAATAACAAACCAATGGGAAACAAGATACATGACTAAGACAACGAATCAGAACATGACACATACACAAGGCAGAGATACACGAGGGCAAGGGAAGCATGACACTAACAGGGTGAAACAATTACAAAATAAAAGACATGAAAACATGAACATGAAACAAAACCCAAAACCCAAACCCCACATTACAACTATGAGAGAAATTTGTTTGAGAAGTAAGACTTACTTATATACAGTAAGATATAATTTTTTTTTTAATCAAAGGGGGTAAGAAAAATGAACTTATTCTGTGAAAAGTCTCTTTATAATATCTTACTGTCTTACACTTCTTTTTTTATCTAAATACTTCATTTAATTTACTTACTATATTTTAAGAAAATGCATTTATTAATTGAAAAAAGGACAAAAATACGACTTAAATTTTCCAGTGCATGCTTTTTATATATCTTTCCAAAAGTTACTCCACTTAATTAAACACATTTATATTTTATATATAGTAAAATAAAGTGTATATCTTCAATATATTTGCGGTTGCATTTTAAAGAAACTGCCATGTTTTGCCGACATGTACATGAGATCATGTACAAATTATGGTAATTTTGTGCGTGTTTGTTAATTTGGGGAATTCTTCCATATACAGTCTTTACCAGACAGCACCACAGCTGTGAGCTCAAGCTCAGCACAGCATACTTCCAGCCCTTTCCTTTATTTATCTGTTAGAGGTACACATGCGCAGACAGGCCAAAAAAAAAATCACATATGCTCCCATGTTTTCCTTTGACCCAGGTTACTGTCTAGGACCATAGCAGTCTGTGTTTTAAGACAAATTGTAATGAGTTCCAGACTGTGTTGGATGCTGCTAGCATTAGCCTACTTCTGCATTAACCCCTTCCTCCTATACAGATCCTCAATCCGGCCCGCATTAAAGTCCCTTAAAAGCACAGCATTCTTCTGTCATCGCATTCTTTTTCTGTTGAGCTCACCGGCAGGGAGAAATTCATGAGCTGAGAGCCGCACGGTTGCAGCTAAACAAAGTTCCCTGCATTATTCATGCGCTCATTCCACCAGGGTTTTTGAACAGGTCATCACAATTCTCTTCCATCCTGTGCTAGACTGTAGCTGTATGGACAACATGTCCATTTTGTGTTCTCTGTGGAACCCCGTTTTTAGCGTTTGTGCATGTGTGCATGTGTGCATGCGTGCATGCGCTCTCAGCAATTTCTAAACTGGATCTCAGGGTACGGCTGGAGATTAGCTAACAGAGCACTTTCCTTTTTCATGCCTATCCAGTCTGATTAGCCTTACCGATGCTGTGTTTGCTTTCTCTGCTCGGACATGACTCGAGGATTTACTTTCACATCTGCTCCACAAACACATCTTTTGTTTTTCTGCCTGTCCCTGATGTTCTCTTTAAATCATGTCCCTCCTCACTGCACTTCCCCCTCTCCATTCCTGCCAGTTCTCCTCCCCATTTGCTCTCCATCAAAAGAGTTTCATATTCTCTGTTGATCATATGGATGAAACTCTGTAACGGTAAAATGACAATACAAACAAATCTAGATAAAACAAACACTTGTGAACGTGCCAACTTCAGGTCAGCAGAACTTTGTTAGGTAAGCATAAAAAGTGAGAGATGGCATGTTATGTACATAGGCATTGTTAGACCCTATTTAGGGGGCTTCAGCTCTTCTTTCATCTCATTCCCCCCTAAAAAAATTCTGTTTATGTGATCTCGCTTCATGTTTGCTTAAAACCACAGCTGCAGTAAGATAACTATGGTTAATAGATCTGTATCTACTTTGGATTCATTGCATTTTAAAGTTTGTAACATGAAAGTGTATATATTGATTATGAGGACTGTCATAATTTTTTTTTAATCTGACATTCTTTGTCAATTTCTTTATTTTTATGTTCTACAGGCAATTCTCGGATCCAAGGAACTGGCAGAAAAAGTAAGTCATTTGAATTAAGTCATTCAACATAAATCACTTATTTCTATTTGCCAGAAACAGCAACAGACAGTCCCAATTATAAGGCTTCATACCTGACAAAAAGAATTGTGGCCCCAGCAGATTTCACCCAATAGCTATAGAAATTCAGTTTAATTGGTAAGTAAATTGCTGCGTGCTGAGTTGCAGTGGGAAGAACATTGACACTGACCCTGACAAACTCATGAGATAATTTACTACTGATAGCAGAGCACAGTGTGTAATATTACACCACCTGGAATTAGAGGGACTTGCTTTTGCTTGGTAAATGTGCTTCTCTGGCACAATACGAGAATAACGCTCATGTATCGGACATAAAACGCTTGTCTGTTTGTCACCTTTACCCCTCTCTGCACCCACTCAACACTCAGCTCATTTTTATGACTCATAGAAAAAAGGTATTACCTTCTTTCAAATAAAATGCAAGGGCAGAAAATGTCAGTATTTGAGTAGGATGCAACTTTTTGGTTTTGATTCGATTCACAGAGCTAAACAATGGGTCAACGGCCTTGTCTCAAATTGTTGTGGACCAGTGTTGTTATTGTTAACTAAAACTAAACTATTAAATATAATTTTCAGTAACGTAAATAAAGCTGAAATAAAATATGAACATTAGATGAAAACACACACACAAAAACTAACACGAAATTTATAAATAAATAAAGCTTTAAAAATTCTAAAAGCACTGCAATTACTATAAAAAAGTTATGAAGAAATAATAATAGTAAAAAAAAACTAATAAAAATGTCACGCACATAAGAAAATGAGTAAACTTAAATTAAAATGAAAGTTGAAAATATAAAAACATATTATCAAAATATTGATAAATACTTTATAGTATAATCAGTGGCAGAGCCAGGGTGTTTTTATAAGGGTGACCTGGTAGGGGCCAGCAACCAGTCTGGGGTGGCACTATATTTATTATTATTTTTTATTTTTATCTTTTATATTATTTCAATATAAAAATGTGATTGACTATAAAGTATTGGACTGTTTTAGTGCCTACAACACAACTGAATAATTTCTACTAAATTGTATTTGAGATATTTGTGAATTAGATCAAGTAATGCTGAGTGAATATGACAATTTGTGTATTATTCCCCACCTCCAGGTATTTTAATAAAGGGGCTCACTACAGCTTTATTGCTTAGTCAGCTTGGTTCTGGTTCTGAAAACCCCCAAAAGCTTGTTCTCCATCATTGCATACTCATTGATGAGACATGCAGATAGTTACAAGAATTGGTTAATAAAAAAATATATAAATAAATAAATAAAAAAGGACGGAAGTCAACAGCACATAAATGCTAGAATGTAAAATTAGTTATTTTATGCGTTTAAATGGTTTCATTTTCGTTTGTACTTTACAAAATGAAAAAATTAAAATAGCGCATGTTTTCTAGTATAAGTGCACTGTGTTCATAATTACTTGTGCATTAAATAAAAAATATAAATAACTACAAATAACATACAGCTTGTGCCTTATTGTGTAGGCATATAGGCCTATTTGTATGTTGGGATCTCGAATTGCACAATATTTTAGTACATGCATTTGAGAGACGTTATTTAATGTGATGCTATACATAAATGACTGCACTAATCGCCTTTTTGGTAATTTCATGACTTAACTGACGACAGAACTACATTGTTTGTTCGTAGTTTCTTGCATGCATTATTTATGATGAAGCAATAGAGCGTGCGCCTTTTATTCGCGTAAAGTTGAAGAGTGTGCGCCATGAGCACGGTAAAACAGCTGTCAGGACAGGAAAGTTTGTTTTACTGACATATAGCCTACGACGTCTAATCAGATCGCAGTTCACTGTTGCTCTACGGGGAAGTCGTGGCCTAATGGTTAGAGAGTTGATGAGACATGCGGATAGTGATAAGAATTGGTTAATAAAAACTCATACCGGCAGGGATTGTAGATGGGGGGAGTGAATGTACAGCACTCTCTCCACCTTCAATACCACGACTGAGGTGCCCTTGAGCAAGGCACCGAACCCCCAACTGCTCCCCAGGCACCGCAGCATAAATGGCTGCCCACTGCTCCGGGTGTGTGTTCACAGTGTGTGTGTGTTCACTGCTATGTGTGTGTGCACTTAGGATGGGATAAACGCAGAGCACTAATTCCTAGTATGGGTCATCATACTTGGCCTCACGTCACTTTCACTTCACTCATTTTGGCACGTTCCTTAATTTCCGCGCTCGTTTGACTTGTGCCTGGTGCTGAGGCGAAGTTGAAGCGCACATCTACGTTTGATGTGGTCATAAAGAGATACAGTGGTTCCGCGTCTTAATAAATGCATTTCTTGTCAAGGGACAAAAACTGCAGTTTTGAGTGGCCAAAGGGGTGGCCAAGCTTACGTCAGTGGTAGCCACGTCACCCCTGGCTCTGCCCTTGAGTATAATTAACACTGTTTTGGATTTGGGGCCTATGCATCTATGAAGTCCACAACACCAGAGGTAGACTTGCATGTAAATCCATTCATTCATGCGAACAGAGGGAGTGCGGGAACATCTCAAAGAGTTGATTTTCATCATGTAGCTTTCTTCTGTGTGCACCTCTGGAAAAAAATGAATCAGCCCAGCGCGTCAGCCAACCGTTCTCAGAGCTGCGGCACAGAGACGGGCCCCTTCCTCTCCTTCGCTCTTACTCACCACATCAATGCACGTTAACTGCCTGTTGGCTGAGCAGGACTGGACGTGTGGTAGATTTTATTTTAATTGTGCTCTTCCGCTAGAAACTATAGCTATTTATAAGTATTTGACTTTGCGTGTCCCCCCTCCCTTATAGCTTTGCAGCAGGCGTGTGTGAACATTGCCGTGAGGAATCTTCTGTTCCTATTGATCTTTGTCTCCCGTGAGAGAACCGCGGCAAGCTGAAATGACACGCAGTAGTGCACCCCAGATACTGCACTCCTATGCCGATTAACGTTATGTTGCACTGCCACCCGCAGGCCAACATCTGTAACAATATCAAAAGCAAATCTGGTTTAAAGTAGAGTGGAGCGAAATACTATTTCAAAACTCAAACCTTAGAAAAAGACATTGTCATGTATAGGAACAACCTGGTTTTCTCTTTTTTCCAGTGTGCAGGATGTGTACTGCTCAGTGAGGAATCAAGTGTGGGTATTAACGTTCAGTTCGTCATGTGTGCAGCATGTATAATGTAGCTATGTAGGTAGGAAGCAGGATTTGCATGCATGAGTGTGCATGAGTGCTGCACTATCACGCCCTTGGAAAGAGATGCATTTATGTCTTTGAAAAATCTGGCAAAGTTTCATGATACTTGTTAAGTATGCATGTTTAAAGATTGGCCAGGCTTACGGCTGCCTTGGAGGAAGTTTTATAAGAACATTATGAGAAGCAGCTACCAATGCACTTGCAAACCCACATGCACCGTCTAATGTTCTTAACGCATTTCGCTCGGCAGAAAAATGCCCAGATTTAAGGTTTTTGTGCATTGTCAGATATTTTTGCACAGTTTCAAAGATTGACTACCTCACATGCTCTTTTCCATATTTGCATGTACAAAATTGAAATCTTGGCACAGTAAACACACTCGTTGTATTTTTTATTTTTATTTTTTGCTTAACAGCTTAATCCAAGCTGGTCTTTTCAACAGGGGGTTCATATGACGTTATGTTACAAACATGATTTTTATTTTTTTTTTGTATTGCAGGTTATTCAGGAAGGCTATGCGGGTCAGCCAGGCCTCAAAGGAGAGAAGGGCAACCGGGTAAGAAATGTCAAACATTGAAACATAACGAACGAGTGTGTTCGTGTGCTAAATCCCACCCTCTGTCCAGGCTTGCTGGGAATAAATGACTGCAGCACTGTTTATTTTGGCATATTATACAAATGCCTCATTAGGAGCTAGCTTCTGTGCCAATGATCCAGCTTGGCCAACTACTCAAAAGTTTCATTATTACTGGCATAATTTCTTAATATATTAATAACATTAATGAATAACCCTGCATCAAGACAATATTAAGGTTCTTCAGGATGGGAGGTTGGAGGGGTGTAAGAGGGCTGATACATAGCATTTAAAAGCAAGGCTGTTGCTTTATATACAGTTTGTCAGGGATGTTGATGTACGTTAATATGGGGTATTGTTCCTTGAATTGTTAAAAAAAATATTGTTTTATTTCCCAGGGTTTGGACTGTACTGGTGCTGGAGTTCCTGGACGAGTGAGTCAATATGTTTTTTGCCTTGAAAATTACCTTCCTGGCACAGACAAATAAAAATAATCTTTAAAATAAACATAAAAAATATGTTTTACAGTCATAGTAAATAGTCAAATATGAATAATTATGGTTAGTATTAATAACAATAATAATGATATAACTATATTACAATAATACTAAGACTACATGTGTGTGTGTGTGTGTGTGTGTGTGTGTGTGTGTGCGCGCATATACACACACATGCATATATATATATATACTGTATATCCACATAACACTTTGAGTGAAAGTTGCATGTCTTAGTATTATTTTTGTGTTATTTCCAGGTTTAAATTAGATGATCAATTCCAGATTTTCTCTGTGGTCTCATATTTTTGACCTCCACTGAATGTGATTTAGTCACTTGGGTGACATGCTGTATCTGCTGCTTTTAGTGCTTAGAAGGTGCTAAAGGGGAGAAAGGAGAGAAGGGGGAGTCGGTAAGTGTGTGTGCCAACCTTGTCTTGAAGAGAGAGGGGATCGAATTTTGGTTCAACAGGCTTCACTGAAGCAGAGGGGATATCTTGATACTATTTCTAGCTATTGATTCACCCATTTCTCATTCTGTTACGTTTCAGGGTCTGGCTGGCAACTGGGGAGAAGCTATAGGAGTGAAGGTAAAGGAAGACACCACCGTGTTGATATGACTGTTAATGAGTGCAGTAGAGCTTGCAAGCAGCTGATCTCCATTTCTGTCTGTATGTCACTCTCATACACATACTCAGGGTGACAAAGGGCAGAAAGGAGAAATCGGAGCCCCAGGTCTGCCTGGAAGTCCAGGCAAAGACGTAAGTGACTAGCATTTGATCTGAAAGTCAAAGATGCTCATATTTATGTCATACTTTATGTACATTATGTATACCAGCTCCCCTCCTGAGTCTCCTTTAGACGTGTTGATATATTTCAGTGTCTCACTGCAGGAATGTACTCAAAAGACAGTTGTATAGCATGCACAGTATGTCTCTGTGCACATATTTTAATTTTAAAAGGATGCAAGAGTCCCTTTCCTTTTATATTGTTTAAAGTGGCCCCATATATTCACAGTGATCTGCTGCAAAAAGCATGATGCATTAGACCCATATACTCACTGCTGCCTTTTCTTCTCATTAGATATCTCTTTGGGTGTTAAATCTTTTTAATGCTGCATAGATTACATATGCCAACAAAGAGCCACAAATCAATGCAGCCTCATTGATTCTTTTAAATGGATAGTCGGGTCGCATTACGCTTAATCTTTTCTATTCTGTATACAAAGCATGCTAAGGGGATGGCCATATGGCCAAGCCGACTAATTCCATATTTGGAATTTGCTTTTAAAATTTTTATCTTTCTAAGCCTCGAGTCATTGGTGAACTGACTTGTTCGATTCCTGTTAGAGGGTTGTTATATAAGCAGTGTGATACTGCCAATGCCAGCGTTTGAAATGAACTCAAGCTAATGATCTTTTATTGGTCTTGGCTGTCACAGGGTCGAGCTAATCCTATTTGTGTGGTGGGCCCTAAAGGACAAAAGGTAAAATGGACTGATCCTCTTGGGATTCATTTAATGGTTTTCTGGGTTACTATAAATGAACTAGTTTTGTGGTGTCATTATCTTTAGTGCTTGTTATGCACAGCAAGTGTTTCTCAGCGCTGATTAATTCACAGGGTTTTCCTGGTGTAGTTGGTCCAGAAGGGCTTGCAGGAGAACCAGGCCGGCCAGGACCTCCTGGAGTTGGGAAACCAGGACCACCAGTAGGATGATTTATCATTTAAATATATTATTTATAGACAATATTTTTGAGTTTATTGGATAGAAAATAGAGCCGAGCTGCAAAAATCTGCCAACTGCAGAAAGTTTTTGAGTTTCTGAGAAAAACTGTAACTGATATTTTAATTAATTTATTATTATTATTTATTTTAGTATTGTCAATCAATGTTTTTGGAAGAACTTTTCAGCTTTGTTTTGTTCTGCCAATACATGTTCATACTTTTTTTTTTTTCCTCTCATTTCTGAATTGGCAAAAATCTAAAATAATCAGACTGCTATAATATAATCAGGCTATATTAAGAATAGTATACTCCTCTGCATACTACATTAGCATTTCTGCAGTATGTATGTGTTCTGCATTATCACTATTCCTGTAGCATGAATGTGTAGACCTACAACATTTGCTAGAATATCTGGTATACAGCAGAAAAATGCAACACACTGACCTGTTGACCTTTAATTTACAATGATCAAATTTCATAAAAAATTACATTTTGTCACGTATTATTTGATCAGACTGACAAGAGTTAAAATATTTTACACCAAAATTCGATTAAAAAAAAAGAGATTTTGGGGTATTTTGAAGTATACACTAGTGTTCAAATGTTTTAATAAAAGATTTATTCAGCAAAGGTGCATTACATTGATCAAAAGTGACAGTAAAATATTTATAATCTTACAAAATATGTATATTTAAAATAAATACTGTTCTTTTGAACTTCCCATTCAACAAAATATCCTGAAAAAGTGTATCAGTTCCCACAAGAATATTAAAGAGCACAACTGTTTTCAACAAAAGTAATAAGAAATCATCATATTAGAATGATTTCTGAAGGATCATGTGACACTGAAGACTGGTGTAATGGCTGCTGAAAATTAAACTTTGCATTACAGGAATAAATGGCATTTTACATATATTTACTAAAATAGAAAACAGTTCTTTTAAATTATAATAATATTTCAAAATATTACTGTTTTTTTTATCAATTGCAGCTTTGGAGAGATTAAGAGACTTTTTTTTCAAAAACATACAAAAATTCTTACCAACCCCAACCTTTTGGTCAGTAGTGTGTAGATGATACAATTTAATAATCAACATATAATTTGATGTTATGTGACAAACTGTACATTTTGTATTCTAATGGTGTTAAAGCATCTATTGTTGCATATTGTGCGCTGTTTAACATACAAAAAAAAAAAGGATACTAAGCATTTTACTATGGAAGCCCGTTTCCGCCACTAAATAAAAAATATAATTCTGTAAGTCATAATAATGAGAAACTTTCTCAAAATTATGACTTAGTATCTCGTTATAATGAGAAACTTTCTCGTAATAATGACTTAGTTTCTCGAAATAATGACTTATTTTCTCATAATAATGACTTAGTTTCTCATAATAATGACTTAGTTTCTCATAATAATGACTTAGTTTCTCATAATAATGACTTAGTTTCTCATAATAATGACTTAGTTTCTCATAATAATGACTTAGTTTCTCATAATAATGACTTAGTTTCTCATAATAATGACTTAGTTTCTCATAATAATGACTTAGTTTCTCATAATAATGACTTAGTTTCTCATAATAATGACTTAGTTTCTCATAATAATGACTTAGTTTCTCATAATAATGACTTAGTTTCTCATAATAATGACTTAGTTTCTCATAATAATGACTTAGTTTCTCATAATAATGACTTAGTTTCTCATAATAATGACTTAGTTTCTCATAATAATGACTTAGTTTCTCATAATAATGACTTAGTTTCTCATAATAATGACTTAGTTTCTCATAATAATGACTTAGTTTCTCATAATAATGACTTAGTTTCTCATAATAATGACTTAGTTTCTCATAATAATGACTTAGTTTCTCATAATAATGACTTAGTTTCTCATAATAATGACTTAGTTTCTCATAATAATGACTTAGTTTCTCATAATAATGACTTAGTTTCTCATAATAATGACTTAGTTTCTCATAATAATGACTTAGTTTCTCATAATAATGACTTAGTTTCTCATAATAATGACTTAGTTTCTCATAATAATGACTTAGTTTCTCATAATAATGACTTAGTTTCTCATAATAATGACTTAGTTTCTCATAATAATGACTTAGTTTCTCATAATAATGACTTAGTTTCTCATAATAATGACTTAGTTTCTCATAATAATGACTTAGTTTCTCATTATTATGACTTAGTTTCTCATAATAATGACTTAGTTTCTCATTATTATGACTTAAGTTTCTCATTATTATGACTTAGTTTCTCATTATTATGACTTAATTTCTCATTATTATGACTTAATTTCTCATTATTATGACTTAATTTCTCATTATTATGGACTTCCTCGCCGCCTGCGGAACGCAAGAGGGACAGCACGCTAGCGCCATCTGTTGGTCAAAGCCATGCAGGAACACCGCTAACATTGCATGTGATGCATGAAAGGGACAGCTAATAAAACTAATACATCATCGAAATACACATCTATAAATTAAGTTTATATGTGTAATGGCTTTCATTTCTTCATAAAATGCCTGGATTTCTTAACTGAAATATTGGTCTGGAATGTTTGAAGCCATAACTATCTGGCAGAGTAACTATTACACAAAAGACTACATACAGATCATTGATCTGAAATCGTTATTTAATGACAGACTATAGCATTATACACTTTAGATTACAGAACAAAGCAATGTTAGCGGTGTTCCTGCATGGCTTTGACCAACAGATGGCGCTAGCGTGCTGTCACTCTTGCGTTCCGCAGGCGTCGAGTAAGTCTTTTTTTTTTTTAAGTTAATTAAGTTAATGTTAAGTCATTATTATGAGAAAGTTTCTCATTATTACGAGATACTAAGTCATTATTTCGAGAAAGTTTCTCATTATTTCGAGAAACTAAGTCATTATTACGAGAAAGTTTCTCATTATAACGAGATACTAAGTCATAATTTTGAGAAAGTTTCTCATTATTATGACTTACAGAATTATATTTTTTATTCAGTGGCGGAAACGGGCTTCCATATTTTACAGTTATTAGTATACTAGTTTTCTATTTTGTCCCTTTTTACCTCACAGGGGCCCCCTGGTGGACCTCCAAGATCTAAAGGAGAGAAAGTATGTTTACTAATATATGTTTTCCTGCTTTGACCACAAAGTGATCAGGATGTTAAATATATTTTTAATGAAAATGTACCATTAGCTTTCTTGAATCCATTGCAAAGTTATATCTAATAATAACAAAACATTCTGTCCGTTTCTAGGGGGATTCAGGGATACCTGGTGTAGACGGAAAGCATGGAGAACCTGCAAGTGCATTTTTTTCTCATTTTGACCTATAGAGGGATGTCAGTGTGAAACGATGGCGTGTGCTGAATCGTTAAGACAGAAGATGCTAATTATCCTGATTTTCTATCACTATCCTGATTGTCCTGTCACTGTAAGCGACAAAATATGTTTACTATCATCAGCACCAAAATTAATTTTATTACCACTGGAGCTATCAGCACATAATTTGCATTTGCAACTCAATGAGCTTCTGCGGTTCTAATCTTCATGCATACCCAATGACGTGGTTTGTTTTGCTGGCAGGGTCCGAGAGGTCCTTGGGGACCTAAAGGTGAGAAGGTAAGTCTAAGCAGTCCGAGTTTGAGATTCTGCATGAAAATTACTGTTGCTTGTTATGAGTCTGCTCAGAATTCACAGAAAGTCACAGTGCATATTCTTGACTGTTATTGCTTTATTTTGAAAAGTTACAGTTCCACCAAAAATTATTACACATAATTTACTTACTCTCATGTTGTTCCAAACTCATATGACTTGCTTTCTTGCTTGTGACACAAATGTCCAATGCCATTTTCTCCATAGTATGAAAGTCATACCTGTGTTTTTTTAGCATTATTTATATATTAAAGGGTTGGGTCCGAGTCCACCTTGTTGAGTCTGAGTCAAGTCCTGGTTTTTAAACAATTGAGTTTGAATAGGAGACCTTTATTTATGTCTTTTTATCTTAATTTTATGTCGTTACTTGTTTTTTTTACACACTTATTTATGTTACACATGAATTAATCTGTACTCTGAAAAATGTTTGTGTTCAAAATGTCAGAGTCTGAGTTCATTCATAATTGCAAGTCAGAGTACCCCATCTCTAATATACTATTATTATTATAATAATAATTTGTATTAACATTTTGAATTTCATTTTCATTTTAGTTTAATTTTTAGTCATTTTGTTATGTGCTTTTTGTCATTTTTTATATGACTATTTATGTTTAATTTATGTATTTAATTATTTTTTTCAGTTTTCAATCAGTTTATTTTATTATTATTATTTTTTATTTCCATTTAGTAGTTTTAGTGTTTCAACATACCTGTATTTCAGTAAGGGTTTTTAATTTCTGTTTACTTTAAGTTTTTCTTTTAATTAGGGGTTCAAGCGCGTAGTGCTGAAACCCTACTGTTATTGTTAGAATGGCCAAGGATCAGCAATCTCCACATAAAACTGATCGGGCAGACCAAACTGTAAATCGTACAGACTTGAAACTTGGAGGGATTGTAGTACTCACACCATCTACAAGGTCACGCAGGCATGCCCCAATCGGCCTGACGGGGGTGCTACAGAGATCAAAAGTACAAAATTGCTCATAACTCCTAAAACTTTAGTCGCAGGCTCAAGTGCCTTATGTTGTTGGAATCCTTGGCTCACGATGGACAAAACACATGACATTCATCACCTGGTGAAATTTTTGGGTATTTTGGATTTTTTTTAAAAGCCTACTTTTGGAACCAAACCAGTTCAGAAGTATTCTTTGGAGAGTGAATATCAATAATTATCAAACAAAGTTGAACTTTCAACTCACCGTCACAAAGGGATGCCAAAACATTAGAAAGGGGCAGGGCCACTTTTACTAAAGAGGGGAAAAAAACATTAAAATGGGTACAACCATGCAATCATTTGTCCGATCAACATGACAATTGTATGCAGTGTCTTTGTTTAAAGTGCCACAGGTGTCTATATGGACATTTGCGTATCTAAAAAAACATGGCCGCCATTGGCCAATGAAGTTTGAACACCTACTGGACAAGGTTAACGGAAGTCGATCGGAATGAAACTCAGTAGGCCTGTTTGACTCATGGCCCTAAAGGTCTGTGAGATATTTGATATTTGGCGATATCGCATTTTTCAAGGGTGTAAACAATTGTATATTCCGCGGTTTTTCACACATAGACATAATATTCATATCAACTGATAGACCTCCTCATTCCGAACAGCTTTGCCTCTAGAACCACTGCTGTCAATCAAATTGTTTGTTAAATAATTGAGAATATGTAAAACTATTTTTGGGAACTAGTACTAGGATTTTCGCTCAATCTCGAAAAAAGCACTGCGGTACAGTTATCTAGGTCTTGGCCCTTTGGGTAGCTATAATATACCCAAAAGCCTATAAAGCCTAAATGAAAACTCAAAACATCACGAAACTAGGTGAGCACATGCAACAGGTGATTCTAAACAATCATGTAAAGTTTTATGGAGATCGGACGACAGGTGGTGCTATAACAGTTAAAAAGGCTTCAAAATGTCTCAGGCTACACATGTAACCATGGATCCCTGAGTTTGACTCATGGCCCTAAAGGTCTGTGAGATATTTGATATTTGGCGATATCGCATTTTTCAAGGGTGTAAACAATTGTATATTCCGCGGTTTTTCACACATAGACATAATATTCATATCAACTGATAGACCTCCTCATTCCGAACAGCTTTGCCTCTAGAACCACTGCTGTCAATCAAATTGTTTGTTAAATAATTGAGAATATGTAAAACTATTTTTGGGAACTAGTACTAGGATTTTCGCTCAATCTCGAAAAAAGCACTGCGGTACAGTTATCTAGGTCTTGGCCCTTTGGGTAGCTATAATATACCCAAAAGCCTATAAAGCCTAAATGAAAACTCAAAACATCACGAAACTAGGTGAGCACATGCAACAGGTGATTCTAAACAATCATGTAAAGTTTTATGGAGATCGGACGACAGGTGGTGCTATAACAGTTAAAAAGGCTTCAAAATGTCTCAGGCTACACATGTAACCATGGATCCCTTCCAAGGGAACGAGACACTGCGTCCTCTAGCGGTCACTATGGGGAACACCATAGTGACCACTAGAGGACGCAATTCAAGTCCCCTTGGAAGGGAAATGGTCCTCAAATTGCAGAAAATGTTCATAAATTCACGCATACACTAGATTTTCATATCATACAATCGATCTCCTCATTCTGAACAACTTTGCTTCTAGGACCACTCCTGTCAATCAAATTGTTCTTTAAATATTTGGCGTTATTATTAAAAAACCTTCTTTTGCGAACTACTCCTAGGTTTTACACTCAACCTCAATAAAACAACTGTAGTACAATTCTCTGGACTCTCTAGGGCAATAATTATCAAAAAATGTTGAACTTTCCTATTTGGATGGCTGTAACAGGGTCATTTCGAAAATGGGCGTGGCCAAATATACCCCAAAGCCTATAAATCCTAAATGAAAACTCAAAACTTCACAAGAATGGGTGAGCACATGCGGGAGTACAATTCTATGGACACTGTAGGTCAATAATTATCAAAAAAAAATTCAAAATTCTACTTTACACTTTGGTTAGCTATAACAGGGTCATTTTTAAAAGGAGCATGGCCAAATATAGGCTTAAATGCCTTAAAGTGCTTGAACCCCGTTAATCGCTGCTTGCTTCAACTTTATTTCAATTAACAAAAAATATTTTTAATAGTTATACCATAATAACCCTGAGTCATACAGGTTTAGAACAATATGAAGGTGAGCAAATGATTAGAGAATTTTAATTTTTAGAGGAACATTCCATTTAATATGCTTTTTTCTGTCTTCAGGGAGATCCATGTGAACCATGTCCAGTGGTCTCTTCCAACTCTACTGGCAACACTGTGGCCTTTCAGAGCAAGCAGGGACCTAAAGGAGAACTAGGGGCCCCAGGCAAAGGAGAACAGGGTCCACCTGTGAGTTCACTCTGGAAACCACTGCTTGTGTTCATCACAAAAAACTAGAAACAGTTTAGCATGTTTGATTAAATGTCACTGTTTAGCATCCTGAAACTGCTTTTATCTTCCAATACACAATTCGGTGCCTGGTAGACACTTAATCATTGCAAAATATCCAGCTGACAGTGCTGTTCACCTCAGTGGGCCCGCCATATTTGTGTTTGCCAAGCTCAATGAAATAAGTCAACAATCAGCAAGGTCTTTTTCTCCTGCTGTTGTTGTGTTGAATGAGAAATGCTGTCGCCATTCCACTACCCTCTCACAGGGAGAACATATATTCTATCATACTTCATTATACCTTAAGAAACATTCAGGTCTCTCCTATCATCCGTGAAATCCACAAACTTTTCCCCCCTCAAAGTTTAGACCACTTACTGTGTCAGATTAAATTTTACTCAATGACAACAGTAAAGGCCTCTCCATTTTTTAGCCTATTAAAATTTCTCCTCTCTGTTCTTCAGAAAAAATTCTGACAAAAAAAGGATTCTATGCAGCATACCATAAAGCGCTTGTTCGCATTTCTCTGTAATGATTTCCAATACCATCACAATCTGTTCCTCATACCTATTTATGGGACAGAGAGTGAGAGTGTGGGATGCAGAATGTGATTGGGTGCAAATGCGGGACATTTACTGTTGCGGTCAGCTAGGTTGACATTAGTGTCATGATTAGCGAGGCTGATGCTGATACTTGTATGTCTCTATTTTCATAGGGCCTTGCAGGACTTGCCTCTGCCCCCCCCCCCCCCCTCACAGAGACAATGAAATTTTATGTTAATAGCTGCTTCCTGTTGCAGAGCTTTTTCTCAAAAGTCAGCAGCTGTGTGTTGTGACAACTACAGCACATTACAGTGTATTCCAGACTAAACTACTGCCTGTTGTTGTAGTTTTTTTTTTCATTTTTCTTCAATAGTGCTGAGTCACTGAAAATGTCATCCAGAGTTTGAGCCATTTTTACAAACTCTCTTGCACATTGTGATTCTTTCACAGGGAGAGCCAGGAGTAGACGGGGCCAAAGGCGAAAAGGTGAGCCTGCCAGGCGTTGGCAAGAAAGATGAAGAATCTGTTCACTGTTTGTGAATTGCTTGACACTTGGAGAAGTTCTGAAGCAAAATTAAGCTGCAAAGTCTTGCCATCTTTGTTCTCTTAGGGTGAACTATGTTCTGGCTGCCCTAGCATTGGAGAAATGCCAGCGGGCATTTTGAATCCAGCTCAAAAGGGAGAGAAAGGAGATCCAGGTGCTGGACAGAAAGGAGAGCAGGTGAATGTGATGGAGTGATTGCTCATTAACATCCAGCACACAGCCTTTAAAAAACTTCCCACAAGTCCTGAAGTGCAGTAAATTACAATGCAAGCAGTTTTTGATATCCACTTCTGTGGTTGTGTATGAGTGTGTGGGATGCATATATTGGCTTAAGCATAATCGCAGACAGCCCTGATCTGTGTAGCTCCTCACAGATATAAGCATCAGCGCAGATATAAGCCTCAGGCACAAATGCTTTAAAAAAATTATTGTAACATAACAGATTGGGGAATTAATCAGCCAAGGCTTTCATTTCATGTCTGTTAAGCAAAAGAATATGCGCTGATATTCTCTGCTTTTCTTTTTATTTTCTTTCTTTTTACTTGATTTTCATGTACAGGGAGAACCAGGTCCAAGTGGCTTTGCTGGACTAAAAGGGGAAAAGGTAAACCTAATACATATGTATTCACTAGGATGCTGAATTTCTACATTTTCGAATGGTTTTAAGGTTGTTAAACAGTATTATAGATAGGTACACATGCACATGCAGTGACCCCGAAAAGTATTTGGACACTTAAATGTGTGGATGTCATTATTTTAAGTAATTCAAACAAAGCATTTCACAAAAATAAGTTGGTTGTCAGATTTAGTGGAACATCGCTGTACTTAATGTGATGAACTACATTACTACTGTACTCTCTAGGGCACCTGTGTGGAGAGAAACTGACTTCCTACATCCATTAAAAATGGCCTTGGGCTAAAAGTTAGTTCTGAGAAAAGTTAAGAGGTTTTTTTTATTTTTTATTTTTCCAGTGCATTGATATTCATATGCTTAAATGTGGCTTATGTGTCCAAATACTTTTTTGTAGACACTGTGCATGTCTATAGTGTATGGTAATTATCAAAGAGAAAAAATCTTTATCACAGAACATGTTTTGCGTTCTATTGCATTATAAAATAATGTAGTCATTTAAGAAACTATGCACAATTTTCTGAAGTTGCTTGTCTCACATTTGACACTCTGTTTGGTTATAGGGTAATGCAGGCAGCAAAGGAAATGAGGGGAAAACTGTAAGTAACCTTTTTTTAATTCTTATATAAATCTTTTTGTTTTTAACTTGCATCTGTGATTTATGACTGACCTCAGCATTAGATTAATGTGCAGATGCTGATGTTTTTTAGGGAAAACCTGGTCCAAAAGGTTCAAGTGGAAATAAAGGAGAGAAGGTGATTAAGCTCAACTCAGACTTTGGTACTCTGCATTAATTTTAAAGTGTTTAGATTGCAGCCTCACAGCACCAGGAGACATAAATAAATTATATATATATATATTTTATATAATTATAATATATAAATGTAGAAATTGCCAAAAAAGACAGAAATACTGTCTAGCTTAGTTTAGTGTAAACTGCCAGGAAACATAAAGGTTTCTGAAGGATCATGTGACACTGAATACTGTAGTAATGGCTGCTGAAAATTCAGCTTTGCCATCGGAGAAATAAACTACATTTAACAATGATTCAGATAGAAAATAGTTATTTAAAATTGTAATAATAAATTTGAGATTTTACTGTTTTTACTGTATTTTTCATCAAACAAATGTAGCCTTGATTTCAAAAACATTACAAAATCTTACAGATTTTATATATATATATATATGTATGTATGTATATATAACAGATATTCTGAAATTCATGTTTACTTTTCAGTTCAACTTATCACTCAGTTCAAGTTATCATTTATCACTCAAGGTTTTTTTTTTTTTTGTAGAAAATGCATTAAACTAACTGCATTTTTACTTGTGGTGTAATTTTTTTACAGGGTGATTCTGGACAACCCGGTATAGAGACACCTGGTCCAAAAGGTGAAAAGGTAAGTGAATGTTTTTACACAATGATTTTCTCTCCTTCAATACAAGTGCATTGTGGATGTGTTTACGTGGGACAAAAACAACATGTGCCTTGTATTTAAGGGAGACTCATGTGGCGTGTGCCAAACCACTACCTCTGAGGTGGGAAGTGGCCTATCTATGATAAAGGTCACAGGGGAACGTGGCCCTCCAGGTCCACCAGGAGAAGCAGTTGAAGGCAAACAGGTAAGCCTGACTATTTTATGATCGCTTTATATTGGAGGAGGCAAGGGTGGTGTGTTGCTTCTAGTGTATCAGCGAATACATTTTTAATTTGAGAAGCCCAGAACACACTGACCCTGTTTTCAAAATGGATGTTTCAACAGGGGCCACCAGGTCTGCAAGGTTTCGAAGGAGAGAAAGTAAGTTAATTATTTTTTAAAGCTGTGCATATAATAATATGTTCACAGTATAGGGGATTTTTCTTAGCATTAAATATAATTTTTATGTGCGTAGGGTGATCAGGGTTTACAGGGAGACCCAGGTGTGGATGGGGCAGCTGGACCCACAGGACCTCAAGGAGAACCAGGCAGGAATGGCCTTAATGGAATAAAAGGAGAAAAGGTCATTGTCACATAACATTGATCATGCGGTCACATATTAATTGCATTGCCGTAAATTATGTGCCATCACTGGATATTTTAATTATCATTCATCATGTTGATATAATACATTACACCATTTATATGACTGTGTATAAATTTGAAGGCAAAAAAATACCAGATTAAGCATGGTTGACCATCTGGAATTCTCCTCCCTTGCAATTTAAAAGCTTTCTGTCTTTTTTTATTGCATCTGTGTCTGCATCGCCAGGGAGACGCGTGTGACAGCTGTCCATCACTCCCTGAAGGAAATTACAATGTTGCTGGCTTACCAGGGCCCAAGGGAGAGAGAGGAGAGCCAGGTTTGCCAGGGGAGGGCAGAGCAGGCAAACAGGTGCGAGTTTTTCTGTACAAATGCATGCTTTCGCAATGAATTAGTGGGGTTTTGTATGACTATTGCACATACATAGAGTTAGACATCTCAAATAAAAAGCCTAACTTAGGAGCACACAATCTGTGCTACATATATGACTGATACTTTAAGTCATGCAGCTTGTTGAGGAGGGGTCCACATTTCTAAGCAACTGAACTTGCGATTTTGGCCTAGCAGATGATAAAAAGAGCAAAATAAAAAATAAAAACTTTTAACTTCTGTGATTTAATATTGATAGTACTTAGTTAAGATGCCATTAAACAAATATGTGTGATTAATAGGGTCATAATGATACATTGATACAGATCAATACATCGATCAAATGACTAACAATATGGATGTTCAATTAAATATTCTTGTTACATTTTGTTTCCATTTGTGAGTTTTTAAAATGTAACTGGTTAAAATAGGCACATAATAAATTAATATCAATATATAAATTATATTAATCAAATCATAATTGTATTGCGGCAGGTTTTGAGGTATCAGCAAGTAATGTAAGAGAATCAATGTTATATTGTAT